ACTTAATGATTGCTTTTTCTCTCCTCTCTCCATCTTATCTATGACACTGAAGAAAATTCAGGTGTGACATTCAAGGTGTATCCCCATTAAAAACTGACAATCAAAGCTTTAAAAATCACACGCTATTTCTTTTCTGAAAGGTACGGGGTGGGTCTTAGGAATCCAGATGTAACAAATATGGAGACTAGTCTTTGAACAATGTTTATTGCAATGCAATACAGATACTCAGAGTATTATTGCAATATTTCTCAGAAACAAAATATGATTAAAATTTAGGAATAGTGACCAAAGAATCTACTTCCAGAAAACTTCCTGTTTTATCTTTCTATTCTTATTTTTTCATAATTTTGCTGACCTTCACTCATCTAGTGCTAGAGATTCAGGATGTTCTAAACTCAGTTTATGGACATAAATCACCTGTTAAAAGCAATGAATAAAAACTCTATTTGGACATGTGGGGGGGGGCAGGCAGATGCAGGTGTATTTTTTTTTATATAAACTCAAAACAAAAGTCCTCCTAGAGCCACTTGCTCTATTCATTATATTTGAAATTTCCTTCCAGAACATCTACTTCAATTCCTAGATCATTGTTTTCTCAAACGTGGCAATTTTAAACTATGTGGACTTCAACTCCCAAAATTCTGAGTATTTGTCATACAAGCTGTGATGTTTGGGAGCTGAAACCTAGAAAATGATATAGACCAGGGCATTGTTTCTCCACAACTAAATTATATAATTATTACATTTCTGTAAATAAGCCAGACTGGGAAAAGCCAACCCCACAAACAAAGAGAAATTTGATAAAGTTGTTTATCTATTTCACTAGTTATTAATTATTTTTCTGCAGAATCCTCAGGATTCCCTTGGAAACATGTCAGAGTACTTCAAAGAGAAGAACACTAATTGGCAGACAAACTTCCATATAAAGAGTTCCATGCTCTCTGATAATGTTCTTTTTTTTTCCAGCAACACATAGGAAAATAATTGGCTATAATTGCAGGATGTAGAAGGATGAAGCAGAGAGATTTTGAAAATGTTGGTTGCTGAAACCTTTTTCGTTCAGCTGTGGGTATCTTCCACAACCAACATCCATCTCTTCCTACTGTGATTTTTTTTATGCCAGCTGAGCAGTTCCTGAAACTTTCCCATCTCATCAAGTACACAAAACAGAAGGTTTTACTTGCACATAAAATTAAATAATACTTGCAATATTTTGCTAATATCTTAATACTGAGGCCATCTCTTTTAAAAACTAGGGCAATCTTTTCTTGAAATTCCTAAATAATAAGACCTCAAGACTTCTCTTCTGCAAAATAAATATATCATTTTAAATATGATATACCTTATTCCATCAGAAGAAGCCACTTACTGAAAATTTGATTCAATTCTACAGAGAAAACATTATCAGCAGCTACCTTTTTAGTTTTTTAAAAAATCAATCCATAAACATACCAAACACAAAAATACCTTTTATCTATTAGTCTGAAAATTGACAGGCTTCATCCGGTCATAAAGGGCTAGCATTCCCATAAACCTCATCAAATTTGAAGAAGTTATCCATTTGTTGATTTCAAATCTATCAAACACAGATATTTTGATTTCTTCACTGAAGTTTGGATTTAGGTCCTAAATCAACTTTGATAGTCTTCTAATCAGTTCAGGGTAAATTGTTTCCCAAATTGAGATCTGAATTGAATCTTGTGGTTGATGGACACTTCCAATCACTAGAATTTGTACAGTAGGCTATTGTAAGATTGGCCAAAATGGGATTTACATGGCATAAGATAAATCAAGAAGACAATTACAATTTATATTGTGTACACAGAAGTAAAGCAGTCACCCAAATCCTTTCACTTCTATGTCTATTGGAGGAACTGAGTCCTCATGTGCATAAGAAGCAGAAATTCAACAGATACTTTTTTGTTCCATTACTAGATAAGGTGGCACCTGTCAAATTTCTGCTTTTCATGCAACTGTTCAGGGCAGAGACATTCTTCACTGAACTGGTGACAATTCTAGGCAATCTAAGAAATCAGGAAACCTTCCAGGAGAGTAAACACTTGCCCAACAATATAGTGCTACATACACTAATATGCCCAGAGAAGCCATTTATTACTTCTATAAGAGTCTACGCTGGTCTGGAATCTCTAAAAGACCTGTTCTAACATTAGACAGACTGAGCCAGTTGCTTCAGGAAAAGGATATTGAGAGATGGTATTGAAATGTTTAAGGACTAAATCAAATATATTAGATGATTTATTCTGCACCATCCAAATTAATGGGGAACACGTTTTCCTGTCTTCAATTATGCAGCTAAATTCAACTGTCACAGGAGTCAACCTTTATACATGATATGGGAAAACATCCTTGCCTTTCACCTCAAGTCAAATATTTTGAGCCATTGTTGCATTTAAGACAGTAACCCCAGAACAACAACAACAAGAAAAAACAGGCTACCATAGTTAATATTGTAAAGATAGGGATGCTGACTCATGTCAAATAAAACACTGAGAAAGCTTTGTGGCATTTTCTTCAGATTAGAAGATATTGTAAAGCACTTTAACCAGAGCTCTTTTTAACCAAAGAATGATCTGGTCAGAGAACTCATAAGCCATCAAAACTGAGATGAGGGAGCTTTACTTGAAAGTATACAAATTCATTGGAGTTGGGTGGCTATAACTAATTTGAATAAATCAACAAATGAAAAAGCAAAAGCACACACAGTTAGAAGAAAAGGATGAGAAAGTCAAGCCGTGGGTCTAACTGAAGACTCTCCCCCCAACTGCCTTTCAAAATTTTATCTTTTTATTAATCAAAATTAGAAGCTGCCCATCTCACTCACTGTGTGACTCTGGATAGTGTGCAATTAAAAACATAAAAACCATATAAATAAAATAACCCACTAGCAGGTAGTTAAAACAAGAACAAAATAATAAATAAAAATTTAAAAAGCTTGAGCATTGCCTACTGGCAGGAGACATGTGCAGTGATTTTAAAGGGAAGATCCTCCCCCGCACTGAATATTACACCTTGGGGCTCTACCTTCAGAAAATTATCTTTCAAAATATGAACATATCTGGGAATAATAACATTTATAGTCTTCAGTCTTAGATTTCTTCCCATAGATATATGAGAATTAATGAGTTTGCAGCGAAGTTTTTAAAGATAGCCATACAAGAGAGTATATATGTGTGTTTTGTTCCATATTCAAGTTTATGCTAACTGCTTAGTTATTGATTAAAGATTGGATTTCTTTTTAAGACATGATATCAGAGCAGTTAAAACTAGATTTAATCACCTTTTCAACAAATATTTATGGGTGAGCAGGAGATTGAAGTCATGTCAACAGTCTTCTGGTACCCTAAAGACTAACAAATACATTGTGTTGCTTGCTTTTCTTCATGTTAGATGCAGGATTTATTCGTCTCTCTCGTGCCATAAGATTTTTACACCTTTGGATTGAAACAAACCTAACAGTCTCTGGAAATTGAAACTCAAGTTTGTGATTGTGAGGTTAGCACTATAGCTGTAGAGATTTCTGTTCAATTAATTAATGAAGACTACACAGGTGAGATCTTTGCAAGCAGTAGTATCCTAGTATCCATGTAAACACATGTCAAGCAGTGCTGAAGGATTGCCAAGGAGAGGAGGAACGTTAAAAAAGAAAGAGAAAGATGTTAGTTGGATGCAACATGAAAAGCTGTTCTGCAGAGGCTGGACTTAATTATGAAATTCAATTAGAAAGCATGAAGAACTCATTGTTAGTCTCCCTCTGGCACTGGCAATATTAACTTGTATTATCACAAAGGGATGATTTGGTGAGAAAAAAGAGATTTTTGAGATGCTGGACAGGGTGATTGAAGAAGCAGTTAATTTACTTCTTTGAAAGGCTATTTCCCACCATTCTGGACTTATTTTAAAGAAAAGCAACATAGATATGTATATGTGCGTTCGCATATGCGTTAAAACTGAAATGCAACACATTTTGAGAATCAGAAAAGGAGAAATTTAAATGAGCAAATTAAAGAGATTTCAATCTCAATGCATTTAACTAGCGCTGAAGCCCAGTGTTCCTTTACTCCAAGGGAGTAAGCTCCATTGAATTCAATAAGGCTTGCTACAAAATATGCATGAATCAACTGATGCAGTAAGAATAATGTAAGGTTGCTTACTAGAGAGGTGTGGGTAAGAGCTAGGGAGGGGGTATTAGAATGGGGGGAGAGTGTTGGTTACCACTGATCATTTTTTCCTCACCCCAATGTGCAGAATAAAGAGCAGGAATATAAATGATAGGAGACATTACTTTATTGGATTTTAATGTTCTTTTGATGCATTAAGATGGAAATGCTAAATTTGTGTCTCTGTGTGGGGTGCTGAGGTATAAAAAATGGTTGAGGAGTTTTGCACCTAAGTTTCTGTTAAGAAAGTTACAAGCTTCTGTCCTTTGGCATAAGCGAAGTATTTTGTGGTTTGGTTATTGAATTGAGATTCCTATCATTTCCAGAGGGAGGGGGGAAATGCATGGCATATCAGCCACTGATACTCCCCATCACAACTTCTTGGACAACTAAGCTATGACAGAAAGAGGGATTTTCCCCGCAGATTTGCAATTACCCAGCCAGGTGCGTCTCCAGGTCTTCTACAAATTATCTCCCGCAAAATATACTTGCACAGAAGTAGCCTCTCTCCGTTCGGCAGGGTTTAGTACCGACCGAGAGGGTATCGCAGTCCCACTTTCGCGGGGCAAGGCACCATCTTCGCCAATTGCACACACGTGGACTAAAGTTACTGTGCACTTTGGGGAGGCAGCAACCAAATGGTTCCGGGAAGCCTCCTTACCTCCAGTATATAGGAATGCTCGCCAGCTCTTCTAAAAACACCTTTGGGCGGAAGGTCCCCTCTCCCTCCTTTCCCAGTCCCAGGGGACCGACAACTGCGCTTAGGAAGCCAAGGCTCCCCCAACGGCCGGCCAGGAGAACCAAGCGGAGGCGCCCGCCTACCTGCCCGTTCTTGCATAGGTCTGCCCACATGCTGGTCCCGTCGCCGCCGCGCATCAGGACGTGGTAGGTGAAGAAATAGGTGCCCGGGATGTTGCAGGTGAACTTGCCCGTGGCAGCATCATAGTTGTTTCCCAAGTTGGTTACGACGTCGTCGAACTTGAGTATCTCGTAGCCCTCGTGCGGGTTCTTGAGGCCGGCGTAAAAGGCCACGCGGGGCACCATGGTGTAGGTGGCTGCGCTGATGGCCCCTGTGCTCAGCCCCGAACCGGGCAGACCAGGCGGACCGGTTTTCCCAGAATCTCCTCTCTCGCCCGGGGGCCCCCGGGGGCCCGGGGGGCCCGGCTCGCCCGGGGGCCCCGGCGGGCCCGGTTTGCCCGGCCGCCCCGGCTTGCCCTGGGGCCCCTGGACGAGGGTGGATGGCGGGGGCAGTCCGCTGTGATCGCTACTGAGGCTTTCGGCGCCCTCGCTCCGGATGCTGCTGGCGCTGGTTGTGGTGGTGGTCTTGCCCAGGTAGGGGTCGCAGACCATGCGGCAGGTGCCCAGCATCTCGTAGTGTCCGTCGATGCCCACGGAACTCACCAGCACCGGAATGAGGATCACCAGGATTAAGATCATCACCACGCCGATGGCCCCGGCGACCAAAGTTTTCCGGCCAATGCTCAGCCGCTGAAGGGGCTGGTTGCGTTGCCTCCCCGTGGTGGAAATGGTGACGGATGGCCCGGGCAAGCTGGCAGGAGAAGAAAAGCGGCGGGTGAGGAGGGCAGAGAAGGGTAAACTTCAGGAAAGATCTCCCGGTTGGGGAAGAGGAGGTGGAGGGGTGTTCTTGTGCCGCGTGTGTGTGTGTTTGTGTGTGTCCGTTAAAAAAAAACAACACGACGCCGTCCCCTCGTTGGCTGGAGTATGCCTTTAAGAATGCTGCCCTTTGACGGCCTTTTTATAGCAGCTGCAAGTATGATCCCAGGTTTGATATGGAAATGTGGGCTGGGTGAGGGCGAGAATAAAAGAAAAATTAAAGAAAAGAGGAAAGACAAACCGAGTGCACCAAGAGCAAGGCAGAGAAGTGAGGGGAGAGAGAGCCAGCGCGTACTGGATACATCTTAGTAAGATGCTTTCATTGATTTGTTTTCCCCTTTCCTTTTCCCCTCCTCACTCAATTTTCTTCCTCCCCCTACGGGAGAGGGAGGAGAACAATCTAGGATTGCAAGGCAGAAGTAACCTGGTGCTTGGGGCAAAGAAGAAGAATTTGAATGGAGCCCCCCCCCCCTTATCCAGATAGCTAAGCCAGCCCTCACCCAAAAGGACTAAAATATTGTTTTAAATGTTATTACTAAGTTTGGTCTTGAAAAGATCTTGTGAACAACTTCAGGGAATTCATTTTGTCCTTGTTCCCATTTGCACTTGTCCTGATAATACCAGTTCCCTCCTCTACTCATGACTTTGCCCTGAGCCCATGAGGGAGACCCTTTAAATTAACTTAAATATACCAACAAGTCAATGTTTTCCCTATTTCTTTTCCCGATATTGCCCTACAAGACGTGTGTACAGTAAAATCTATATTTTACCAGCTTTTATTTTGGAGGTGAACTTAGGAGACCAGTAGCAGGTGGAATCAGAAGTTGACCTTCCACTCTAGTCACCACACGGCCTCCACCCCAGCCATTTTTTTCCCACCCCTTTACCCCCCCTGTTAGCAGTAAGTTACCTGAATTCCTTTCAAATCTCTCACATTTATGTTTTTTATGCTAGATTTTCTTCAGGCTTCCAACAAGAGGTAGGAGGGCAGAATTGCACTACTTCATGTGGGCAAGAAGAGGGGATGGCTTATTTGCCACTTGGCTTGGATCTTTCTCTAACAATCTCACTCCTGCTTCCCCTAAAGCAGGGGTCTGCAACCTTGACTGCTTTAAGACTCGTGGACTTCAGCTCCCAGAATTCCTCAGCCAGCATAGCTGGCTGAGGAATTCTGGGAGCTGAAGTCCACGAGTCTTAAAGCGGTCAAGGTTGCAGACCCCTGCCCTAAAGTAAAAGAGGTAGCTGCTGGCAGCTAATGTGTCTCAGACTGTCTATAGCAGGGTTTTCAACCAGTGGTATGTGTACCACCGGTGGTACTTTAGCACCTGGCAGGTAGTATGCAACCCCTAGTCAAGTGTAGCGGGGTGGGAACCAGCTAAAGCGGCACCGCACAGACCTGAAGGAGACCAGCTGGAGCTGCAGGGCTCAGCAGAAGCCCCAGGATCTGTGGGCATGGCTGCATGCTGATTGGAGCTTCTGGCACACCTGGAAGAGAAAAGGAGGAAGAGGAGGCGTAGAGAGGAGAAGCTATAAAAGGAGCAGGTTTTGGCGGGAGAGGAAAAAAACACACGGAAAAGAGAGAGAAGAGAAGGGAAGAGGCTTTTGTTAGCGAAGCGGTGAAGAGATCGAGCGAGCGGCCTTCATGAGCGAAAAGTGAATGAAAGAGTGAGTGAGGGGCTTGTGTGACAGAGAAGCTTTTACGAGCAATGTGTGAGTGAAGGAGAGCAAGTGAAAGGTTTTTGCTAGCAAAGGGTGAAGGGGAGTTGTGAGCGAAGGGTGAGAGAAAAAGGGAAAAGTGAGGGGGAGAAGGGGAAAAGAAAAGGAAAGGCATTGATTTCTGAGTTCCACTGTTGCAGTAGGAAGGAAGCATTAACATTGAACCTCAACTTTTTACTTTTCCATAATATTATAAATTAGCCATTTCTATAACAACAAATGAATCTAACCAGTAACGCGCAAAATCCTCCCCCCCTTTTTTTAGTCATCAAGTTTTTGACACCTTGCTATGCACTGGTGGTACTCAAATATTGTCATGTCCTAAAAGTGGTACAATCTGTGAAAAGGTTGAAAAGCCCTGGTCTATAGGACCCTGAAAGCTAGAAGCACAATCATGGTGGAGTCTGCTTCCTTCCTAGTTCCACCGTGGCATCTATTTTTCCTTCTTTTCCTTCTTCCTATTTTGTTTTATATTTAGAAATATCAAATAAGAAAAATAATTGTTGATGTGCAGAATGCAGTATAATAAAACCTGCACATATACACTATATTTGTATGTATTTGGGTACAGACACACATATTAAACATACCCACAGCACAAAGATCAGAAACCTGTATGATTATATTAAGCTCAAACATTTGAAATATGAATGACATAAATAGCAAGAAAAAAAGGAATGCATGAATGAATGAATGAATGAATGAATGGATGGATTTAAAACCAACCAGTCTACAAGAAGCAAAGTTAAAAAGAAATCCTCTTTGAAGTTAGGGAAAAGTATATTTACAAGTAAGGAAGTCAGAGGAGCACCAGTTGGAAAGGGCATTGTGTGTTGGCTAAACCAATCTCAAAAGAGAAGTTTAGAAAAAATGGAAAAGGAACAAAATTTGGCTGTTTTCAGAATAATGGCAAAGTAGAGATGCAAAACTGTGGAGAAATCTAAACATGTAAAAGCAAGATTCCCTTGGATAAGGCAATAATTAAAGTAGTCTGGTGGGATGATCACATAACATTCACTAGGAGATAAAGGTTTGTGAGACAGCATCTTCTGAAAGGTTATCTAATCTGAATTTTATTTCAGAATCAAAAAGTGTAACAGAGGAAGACAGTGACTAGTGTCCTTTGACACTTAGTCTCTGGATATTTTATTGAACATGCATATTGGTTAGACTTGTCTTCTATAGTAATACATCTTGGAGCTGTGGTGGCGCATTGGTTAGAATGTAGTATTGCGGGCTAACTCTGCTCATAATCTGGAGTTTGATTCTGACCAGCTCAAGGTTGACTCAGCCTTCCATTCTTCTGAGATCGGTAAAATGAGGACCCAGATTGTTGGGGGCAATATGCTGACTCTGTAAATCACATAGGTCTGTGAAGCACTGTGAAGCAAAATATAAGTCTAAATGCTATTGCTATTATCTTTCTATGAAATTATAATGAATTTATTCATAAATTTGCATCCATAAGTTTGCATATGCAAATTATATGCAAACTAGAATCCTGTTTTTTCTGTCACTCTAAAGACAGCAATTTTTAAGGATCTCTGCATCAAATTTTATAATTCAGAATTACAGATACACAAAATGGTTCATACATCAAAGAGCTACTTGGTTTCTATCTGAACCTAAACATGTCTGTTTGGTGTGAATATAGGTAGTCCTTGACTTATGACCACAGTTAGGCAAGACAGTTGTGAAGTGAATTTTGCTCCATTTTACGACTTTTCTTGCCACAGTTGTTAAGTGAATCATTACAGTTATTAAATTAGTAACATGGTTGCTAAGTGAATCTGGCTTCCCCATTGGCTTTGCTTGGCAGAAGATCACAAAAGGGGATCACATGACCCTGGGACACTGCAATCATTATAAATACATGCCTGTTGCCAAGCATCTGAATTTTGATCACGTAGCCAAGGGGATGCTGCAGTGGTCATAAGTGTGAAAACAGTGATAAGTCACTTTTTTCAGTACTGTTTTAACTTCAAATGGTCATTAAATGAATGGATGTAAGTTGAGGACTATCTGTATGGTACACATTAGTAGGCTGTGTTGTGGTAGCTACAAACTAACCTATAGTTCTGAGCATTAATTTTGGTGGCGGAGAGTGAGAAAAGTCCAAGAACATAGACAAAAACTTCAAATGGTAACAACAATTCTCACTTCTTTTTCTGTTGAGCTGTGTCCATCTAGAATGATTCAGCAGAACTTCTGCAACAAAATATATTTGTTCTGAGATTCAAACAAAATATTTTCTGTTTTATGCATATCCATGTTCAGTTTCTAACAGCAATTTCTGGAATACTGTGAGATTGAGAATTCAATATAAACATTAATTAATATCAATATGCAAATCATGTAGTGTTAAGGTATGTGTCTAGAACTGGAAACAATAACTTCGCAGACATTCCCTGCAATTCACTGTTATTTTTCCCTTAGTCGTTTCTATTGCTTTCTAAAGACACACGGTAATTTTATTTACACTTACATATGAGTAAATCCTGTTGGACTCAATGAGCTTTAATTCTGAGTATGCATATATAAGATTATAGCATGCAGCCTATCCTTTCCTCTATTTATTTTTGTGCCTCTGCATCTAAATTAAGCTTCCCCACATGCCATATTACTTTTCCACTGCAAACTAGAGTTGTGATTTTCTAAGGGATCCTTATTAGTAAGGAAATATCTTTATTCCAACCAATCCTGATCCGACTCTCAAGAGTTTCCTTTTCTAAGCATTGGCTCTGTCTGCCCCAGATGGATTTTCTGTGCTTCGATGGACTGGAAAATAACACCTTCAAACTTCACTACAGAGAAGCAAAGGTGCTTTAATTACCAGCCATCTTACTGCTATGGCTGCTGCTTGCCATGACTTTTCAAGAGATGAGGATAATATGAGATTTTCCTGTTTCAGTCTTTTCCCCTGCTTTCCCCAATAATTAAAAGTTAAAAAGTGCATTTGCTAGACATCACAGCTATAAGAATACAACCAAGTGGATTCTTGGTATTGCAGCAAAAATCAGGGCAATGGGGTTTATAGGCTGTGCACTCTAGGATGGGGAAAAGCTCTCTCTGTAAATGCTGAATTACCAATCCTAATTTTGCACCTT